GGTTTAGTGAGAACCATTGGTGATGGGTGGATGGTTGGACTGGATGATCTTATAGGTCTTTTCAACCTTAGTGATTCTGTGATTCTGTGATTCTGTGATTCTGTATCGAGCAGAGCACCCAGCAGCACCGTCAGCACCGAGCGGAGCAGCAGCGAGCAGAGCAGCGCCGCACCGAGCAGAGCGGCACCGAGTGGAGCAGCGCTGAGTGAAGCGGCACCGAGCGGAGCGGCACCGCACCGCGCCGGCAGCACGGAGCGGAGCAGAGCAGCACCGCACCCAGCAGCACCGAGCAGAGCTGCAGCGAGCGGAGCGGCACCGAACCGAGCAGGGCAGCACCGCACCCAGCAGCACCGAGCAGAGCAGCACCGAGTGGAGCAGCGCCAAACAGAGCTGCACCGAGTGGAGCAGCACCAAACGGAGCAGCACCGCACCGAACGGAGCAGTGCCAAACGGAGCGGCACCGAGCGGAGCAGAACCGCCTCCAGCAGCACCGCACAGCACCGCACAGCACCGCACAGCACTGTCAGCACCGAGCGGAGCAGCACCAAACAGAGCGGCACCAAACAGAGCAGCACCGAGCAGAGCAGCAGCAAGTGGTGCAACACCGCACTGCACAGCACAGCACCGCACCGAGCGGAGCAGCACCGCACCGAGCAGCACCGCACTGAACAGAGCAGCACCGCGCCGAGTGGGGCGGTACCGAGCAGAGCGGAACCGAGCAGAGCAGCACCGAGTGGAGCAGCACCGCACCGAACGGAGCGGCATTGCACCGAGCAGAGCAGCACCGAGCGGAGCAGAACCGCCCCCAGTAGCACCGCACAGCACCGCACAGCACCGTCAGCACCAAGCGGAGCAGCGCCGAGCAGAGCGGCACCGAGCGGAGCAGCACCGAGTGGAGCAGCACCGCACCGAGCAGAGCAGCGCCGAGCGGAGCAGCACCGAGCGGAGCGGCACAGAGCAGAACCACGAGCAGAGCAGCACCGCACCCAGCAGCGCCGAGCGGAGCAGCACCAAACAGAGCAGTACCGAGCGGAGCGGCACCGAGTGGAGCAGCGCCGAGCAGAGCGGCACCAAACACAGCAGCACCGAGCAGAGCAGCACCGCCCCGCCCCGCCCGCCCCGCGCGGCGCTCACCCGCAGGGCGCAGCCGTCGGATCCCCCCAGCGGCAGCACGGAGACGCCGCCGACGGCGGCCAGCAGAGCCCGGCGCCGCTCCTGCAGGAAGCGCAGGGCGCCCGCGGCCATCGGAACCACCGCCTCCGCCGGCGCCGCGCCGGGAGCTGCGGGATCCGCGGAGGGGGCCGGGCTGGGCCGCCGATCGGCGCTGGGATCCACCATGGGATCCGCGCTGGGTTCCACGATGAGCCATGGATTGGGATCTCTGCTGGGATCCACGCTGGGCCGTGAATTGGGATCTCCGTTGGGATCCAC